GACGAAGGCGACGACGCTTTCGACGCGCTCTTCGACGGGGGCTCGGGGTACGGGTGGGATTCCTCCTCGGGGGGCGGCGCCTTCTGAGGGCCCAACAGGAGAATCGTGCTTTTTGGGTTGGGTTGGGTTGTCGGCACGGGTTGGGTCGGTGAGTTGGGTTGTCCACCCAACCGACCGCGTGAGATAGGGTGCTGACCTTTTCTCGCCGAGGCTCGCCGTCACGGCGACAGGTTCCGCAGCGCCGCCGCCGCCTCCTCCTTGCCCACCGGCGTGCCGCTCGTCAGTAGCGCAACGAGCGGCTTCAGGCCGCCCTCCTTCACAATCGCCAACTCATTGTCGTCGTTGACCGACAGGATCCGCAGCGCCCCCGCCGCCATCTCCTTGCCCACCGGCGTGCCGCTCGTCAGCAGCGCAATGAGCGGCTTCAGGCCGCCCTGCTTCGCAATCGCCACCTTATTGTCGGCGTTGACCGACAGGTTCGCCAGCGCCGCCGCCGCCTTCTCCTTGCCCACCGGCGTGCCGCTCGTCAGCAGCGCAATGAGCGGCGTCAGGCCGCCCTCCTTCGCAATCGCCACCTTATTGTCGGCGTTGAGCGACAGCTTCTCCAGCGCCTTGGACATGGTCTTCTTGAGAAGCGGCCGCTGCTGATCCCGCTGGTCGACCATCAGGTCGCACAAAGGCTGGAAAGGGGTCGTTGCCAATTGAAAAGGAGCTGCTTGCCGAGCGCCGCGAAAAGGAGTTGCGCAGGCTTGTGGAGGCACGGATAATTTCTTGGCCTGCCTGTTGCATCCTCCTCCATACAAGGTACCACCATGCGGAGGCGCCGATGAGGACCACGGCGACTGAGCCGAGGCTGAGTGCGACGATGTTCATACGGCCTGATACTTGCGACGCCACAGCAACCGGCATCAGGGGCGGGCTGAGCGGCGGCGGGGAGGCTGGCGGCGGCGAGGGAGGCGGAGGCGAGGGCGGCGGGGGCGAGGGCGGGGCTGACGGTGGTGGCGGCGACGGAGGTGCAGAACGCCTATTCCCGTCAACCCGGACGCAGTGTAAATGCAAGCCTAAACGTTACCCGACCTCGCAAATCCC